ACTCTTCTTAACCACTCTTCTTAACCACTCTTCTTAACCATTCACTACCACTTGGAATAGAACTGAGATCGAAAATTTCTCACTGAATTTGCTCCTCTCGTGAAACTGATTGGGCTCTCTTATAGGTGGTTAAATTATGATGAGGTTGGGCGGATTTCAAGACAAAACTTCAGTAGATGATGAAAGCCCCGAAGTCAGGCACGTGAATCGGTCACGTTCTTCTGACCTCGACCAATTTCCGGTTGGCATTGACCGTCCTGTTGAGAATAATCAATTCATTCGGTAAAAAACAACCACATACCAAGGCAAGGCACCAGTCCATGCCGTTTTCCCGTGTAACGTAATCCACAACAGGTATCAAACGGAGGTCACGCACCTTCCACCCACCGTTCCTTCACTTCTTCGTCTTGCTCGCACATCCTCTCTCTGCACCGTCCCTCTTTTCCAATTTTGTTTCTTATCAACGGCTAGTTCGTGCCACTGGTCATCTACAACCCAACCTATCGGCTACGCCACCCACTTCGCTGAGTTGATATCTCCAGTAGAAGAGCAGAACCCGCGAGAAGCGACTTCGTCCCACCACAAGCAGCAGCCTCCGCTGAAAAAAATGCCACACCGCTTATCCCATACATCAAGGAACGGTACAGCTGCCAAGGAGAAATGTACTGTGATTTGCGGGCTAATCGCACGAGTGGTGTGAGCAATGGCGAACTTCAAGTCTATCGTAGCACAACTCACCTTGCACACATCCCACCAGGACTTGGAGTAAGTTCTCAACGCTTATGAGCTGAGGTGGTGGTGCTGATTGCTCTGTTGGTAGTATAAATATTACGTAGTGGGGCTCCAGCGCGAATCATGGAAACGCGGGTGCCTGTTCCTGAATCTCGCAACGGTTTTATTGAATTACTAGCGATCAAGCCTATCCACTTCTAGCTCCACATCGTATTTTGGAATTGTAATCCTTTGACAAGACCGGACTTACTACGTCTAGGAGGCTGATACTGCATGCCTCCTCGATGCAAGAATTGCGCCTATGAGAATAGTGCAAAGTAGCAGGATTGAGTGGTATTGGTACAGTGCACTGGATATTGGTCTCCGTCTGTGACTTAGTGTATAATTATGGTGTTGTGCAGAAGGGATGGAAGCTGAAAGCCTATCGAATCGTAGCATTGCGTGACGCCTTCCTGGCAGCTGCCACCCGATGTACAAATTCCCAGAGATAGGAAACGTAAAGCTTGGGGTCGGATCTTAGATTGTGTGGCAATGAAATGGCATCTAGCAAATCATCAGCCCTTCTGATCCCATCGACCGGTCTTCCGCTTTAACTTACCCCGTAGTGTCTGGTCTGCACTCCCCAATGCTCCAACGAAGAAGCGACCATTTGCAGTTGCCAAATCCTGCTTCACATGGGATAAGTGAAAAGCCTCTATGTTGCGGGCCCTGGGTGTGAAGATTGGAGGAGGCGGCAGAAAGGCTCTCGGTGTATCTTCGCTCAGGACCCATGGCCGATGTCCCATCCAAGAGGTATTAGACATGCTCTTCTCCTTAGCGCGATGTTTTCGTAGTAGGTAGTTTCGTTTGCTTCGCAACGCCTCGCCTGTCCGTTTCAACCCAAATTGTTTGAAGTATGCCTTGGCTTTTGCATTCCATGTCATCCTTTGGCGCTGTAGCAGCCATGGAAGGAGGTTCTTTTTCTCCCTTGAAGACCAGGCAATGGTGTTGGGTTTCGGCATCTTGGGGAAGACAAGCAAGCCTCTGTAAGAGAAGGGTAGAGTAAGATGAGGCTGTGTAGGCACGGTGCACGGTGGAGGTTTTTGAAGGAAACTGGTCGAATTTTAGGGGTGGTCATTAGCTTTTCAACGGCATTGCCCGGTTCGCTAAACACTGGTGTTTAGACCGATTATATGGCATTAGAATAGATATTGAGGGAACTACTTCTGTTACGGAAACAAAAACGAGCTGTAGGGTGCCGGTTACCAGGGCAAGACCCGCACAAACCAATGGATACGCATGGTTGACCAGGTTGACCAGACTGTTCATGTTGGTGGAAGAGACCGGCGGTCTTGTGAGGCTCATGTGTCACGATATCTCGCCCGTTGAGAAAACGGTCAATCTACTCGGGTATTTGTCATTTAAGTTTCAAAATAAGACCCCATCAAATTTCGGATATAGTTCAGTGAAAAGTACGTGTTTCCTTCCAATCTCCGACACCCCGACCAGATGAGGGTCTTTCATCCCTGCCTTGCGTGTAGATCTGGACTTTATCGATCGACAATGCTACTACAGAATCGGTTCGATGGGGCTTTTGGTGCACCAAGGGAAAGCGTGAGCCCTTCTCGACGATTAATGAATTTTTTTATGTTACTGCGCCGTAACGTTCGCCCTTCCACTCTGTTTACTCGATTTTTTTATTTTTATTTAATTTATTTTCATGTTTTCTGACTGAAAAACTCCAAGCACTATTTTCATTCCGAGGTCACTGGATACCCACTCGGAGACTCGGATACAACTCTCTTAGTGGCCAGGGATGTATCCGCCTATTCTACTTAAGGGACAGTAGGCGATATCAACCACGATGGCCTTCTCGGAAATTTTCTGAGTTGGACCTTAAGAGGAGCATATCCCCTCCCTGAGGAGAGGAGTTACCTTACATTCTAGGTCCTCGAACTTCCTACCTTTTTCTCCCTAACCTACTACTACCAACACAACATCAATGGGGATTCAAAGTGCTCTGCCCAATGGCACCTTACAGAGATACTCAGACCGACTGTCTGACATGTTCTCATTGGGCTCGCCTGAGCCTAGTGGTGTTTGCAGTCCGCTAAGATCAACCGCTGGCTCTCTCGACGTACAGTCCGACGATGAAGGGGATACTGGATCAATGGATGAATGCAGTGATGAAGAAGGTGCCCATGGACAACGCGCGATTCAAACTACAAGTGTCGTGGAGCATGAACAAAGTCGTGTGAAGCCTGAGGATCCTGGGTACCCTGGAGACTCGACATCGACTATTATCGAATGTATGGCGGAGTGAGTGTTCCAGATCATCTCAGAAATCCTCTTCTATCTGCCTACTAAAGCACGTTTTCTTCCAGATTAGATGTGCGAGTGCAGTAAGTATATACATTTGAAAAACATGGCAGTATTCACATACTGATACGCGTCAGGTCTGTTGAAGACTCCCTCCTGAACCAGAATATGTGGAACAA